CTGATATTTAGAGTTGGTGCCATAAATAAACAGAGGAATGTGTCTTTATGATTACACAATGAGATGCTGCTATAAACATAAAATCACATATTCCTGGGACAGAGCCTCGGGGAAGTTTATAATGAGGAGGAAAGAGGCCTGGATGCTGAATGATCACTGACGGTGCTCAACACTCAAACTTTCACATGTTTGTAAAAGTATGACGTGGTCAGCTGCACATTTAAAATCAATACAGAGATTATAAAGGTGCCTCGTGATGTACCAAGAAGTATCCAAGATCTCTCGCTTAAATAGCAGCAAACACATTTATTGTCACACACGTACAAAGAGATAAGAAATCCCCGACGAGGATTCAAACCCACGAGCACGAGCAGTCCATCGCCTGGACCACTCCTCGTCTGACAGCTGCAGTGATACTGAAGCATAAACTTCGGCTGAAATGCAAAATGTAAATGATGGAGAATCTGGTTTACTTTGAGATCGAATGTTTGACTTTAGTCAGAGATCTGCAGGAAGAACACAGAAAGTGTTTCACTCTGTAGAAATGACGCCAAGACTGAAATATAAGTTATATGTTCAGAATTTAGTTCCAGTTCGCGGTCACTCCTGATCTGTTAGAACTTTAGATTCAAATTTAGAGGGAAACAAAACTGCTTCTCGCTCACTTTTAGCTCCAAAGGTGATAATTTAGAAAGATCCAGAATTAGGACGAAAGGATCAGCGTGCGTCAGCTCTGACTGTGGGCCTGACTGGGTCATCTGTGGATGAGCATCAAACTTCAGCCACAGAGATACTGTCTGTCTTTTATAAGCGACTGAACCCTAATAAGCACCAGTGCTCGTGTAAAGGAGATTTCTTACCTTCTGCCTTGTAGGTCGGGTTTTCTGCAGTGCGTGGGTTCAGGCATGAGCAGAACAGAGACACCAGGGGGAGCTCTTTGACCTTCTCTTTATAGGCTGAGGACACACAGAAGATCAAGCTGAATCACGCAGTCGAGGACTGACGACGTAAGTCATGCTCGTTATGTCGTACCAGCGGACATAATAACGACACAAATGCTGCATGTTCATATTTGAACAGATCGGTCGCAGTATAGCGTTTAAAGCAGAGGAGCAGGGCGTGTGAGGTGAACGGGTTTGTGCTGCGACTGCATTTACCTGCCAGAGTCATGGTCTCACTGCAAATGTAACTCTCCAGGGACGCTGAAGATCCTCCTCACTCTGTCAGAGAGCTGTGCAGAGACAGAGAGGGCTGAATGCAGGAGCATCAAGGGCACAATGAGAAGAAGCTGAGGAGACGACAGCGTGTAGAGCAGCCAAGTCATGATAATTGGACTCATGCAAAGCTGCTCTAGCAGAATCAGAATAAAAAGGCGGAGCGTGATGCAAAAATCCCACCTGAGAAGTCAACTTTAAGCTCACATTATCAGATCAGAGCTCTGCAGACAACAACTATTCTGGGTAAAGATCTCTGACCTTCTCGACAACAGTTACCTGACATGTGAAAAAAAAGACACATACTAATTTTTGTTTGTACTTCTTCAGAGTTCCTGCACTTTAAATGTGGTTGTTTCACCATTAAAAATGGAAAATAAAGTAAAATGTTCATCAAACAGCAGAATGAAGCTCTGCTGTTTTAGTTCATCTCAGGCTACTAAACTGTTTTTTTGTTCGTGTGTTGAGTAACTTTGCCTCCCCATCAGATAAATGTGAAAACAACCATCTGTGCAGAAAGTCGAACATCCTGCTGAAGAAGCTGCAAGTCAAACATGTTTTCGAGGCGTGGCAGAGAAGCTGCTGCAAACCTTCTACAGACCTTTAAAACGCCGCCTTTGCCCAACAAATTCAATAATTCATAATTCAACAATAATTCTGTGTATTTTTCAATGAATTGCACCGAGGCACAAAGGCAGCAGAACCAGCTGCCATCGTCTCCTCAGATGGTCTCGTCAACACTGAGCTGTTATAAATGCGTCTCTATCAAAACCTCGATCATTTCTTTAACTCTGAACTGTTTCGATGAGCCTGATCGATCCGAACAGACACACTTATCTGCCTCTCTAAAACATTTTGTGTGCTAATTGGATAATCTCACCCTCTTAGATTCTGGGCGTGCTCTGCACAGCTTACTGACCCTGCCTCGCTCCGCTGCACACACTAATTACGTTTGCTTAAATCCTGGGAGCCAGCATCACCGGCACGAGGACACACAGCCAGCTCACTGTGAGGTCCAAAACAATAACACAACATTTGAACGTCATGTAACAGGCGTGCTGGGTCCTTGATAGTTGAGACATTTGCTATCTTCAGACCTTCCCACTGTGTTTTAAAGTGACGGAGCTCCCACCAGCCAGTGGACAACGTCGCCGTGGCTACACCCATCTCTTATATTTGATCTCTGATGTTGTTCCCTTTAGATTTAGTTGAACTCACCATCTTGAAAACCTAGAGGATGGAGCTTTGTGGGACACGTAGCCCAAATCAGGACCTTTTCTCAACCTTAAACTTGCCCTTACTAAGTGAAGTCTAAATCTAAAGGTGCTCTGTCTTCAGACCGAAAGTCAGACGTACTTGGACTGATGTCTACTCCACATGTGGCCCCGTTACAGTCAGTCCTGTTAGTTCTTCTCAGTTTCTCATCTAAAGAGTGCCTGCTTGTGTCGTTTCTGACATTAGGAACAGACGACTGGCATGTGTCACATTAACGACGTCGGTCCCACTCTGTTAGTCTCTTAAGGCCTCAGTCACGGCTTAGAGACTGGTCAGTGACAAATGAGTATTATTACCTGACTGGTTGCTGAGTGGTTGCTGGAGCCACAGTCACCTGTAGTTCCCTCACAAACCAGCCGCATGTAGTGAAGCTTGACCAAGTGTGATGCTGACTGGAAACCACTCAGTGAGTAGTTGCCATGCAAGCTAGGAGAGCAGCCAGAAAGTGAAGCTAAGAAGAGTCTTTGATCGAAGTGTAGACGTAGAGGGCAAGTATATAAATTATTATTATTATCATTATTATTATTATTATTATAAATATCCAGGCTTCCGTTTGTGCTTCAGACCTGGGGTTGTGTGTTTTGTGTTCAGGTCTCCATATCCCAGATATGTAAAATAAAGATCATTTTTAAAGTAAAAGGAGCACTTTTGAGCTGAGCCAAAACAACCAAATTTAATACAAGCAAACCTGTATAACTGTTGGCAATCTAGCAACTTCCTGCAACCACTCACACCAGTGATGTGTGACTAGGATTTAGCCATTTGTAACAGTGACTGCCAGGAAATTAGTTCAACCAGATGCAACCAGTTGGGGAATACAGATTATTTTCTATAGACCAGTGGTTTCCACTCAGTCTTCGACCAGTTTGCTATAAATTAGAATCCCATTTAATATGATGGTGAATTGATATTAAATGATGCTAAACACTGCCAGCACCAGTGCTAGCTGATAACTCCACCTTTTCATCCAAATGTGATCACATCAGCAAAACCGAGATAACACAAATGCTAAACTCAAAGCTTTAACATGTTTGTAAACAGCTGAAACTACCTAAAAATTATTTTATTGTATTTTTATCTGGATGCACTAACAAGCAGCAAAGGTGCTGGATGTGTTTCGGGCTTTGCCAGTTGCCTGTTGAACGTTTACTCAGACAGAAGCAAATGAGCATATTTCCCAAAACGTGTCTGTCTGTCCGTCTACAAACGAGCCTGTCAGCGAGCCCG